TATTGGGGCTGACAACAATAATTACACTAACTGACATTACAAAACGTGAAGTTCCCCGTACCACTGCCAAAAATTGTAACTACACATTGGAAACTGGTTTTTATCAATCATATAAATTATATAAATCATTTCTGAATAGAAAACCATACCTTGCAGGATTTTTATGAAAAATAATCAAGGTGAAATAAACAAATTACAATTTTAAAACAACTATGTTAGGAGTATTAACATTCAGAGGGGCTGGACCAGGAATCGAACCCTGGACTCCAAGTTGTTATACTATCGCTCTAACCGACTCAGAGTTATCTGGTAAACTGAAGCATCTTGGCCAAAATTTGCTTCAGCTATATCTACAGAATGAAATTAAAGGGAGGTAACTCTATATATTAAAAACCACAGCACAGAGGAACTTAGATGCTTAATCCACCAAAATAGGCTGAAGGTTAAAAGGTTGAAATCAGTTCATATATTCCACATGGCAGTGGTCTTAAATGAGTCCCCTGTATTAGCCCTGTAGTGGTCTATTGCTAGCTTATATAGAAGTTAAATTTCACCAGTACTAAAAATTTCAAATCCTATGGTTTTAATAGAACATTTTCACGTAAATATTAAAAAATCTTTCACAAAACAATTTTACAGTATTTTGATATCGGGCAAATTTTGTCATAGTTCTCTGAGGTTACAAGAATATATGAGTATAATACCTAAAAAAAATAATTAATTGATTTGTTACCAAATTATTACTTTGACATACTATGTCTCCGTTATTTTGTGTGCTTCAATTTTGAATTAATCTTATGCAAAATTGTATCGTGGGATATGTTGTTGAAATTGACTGATAAAAATTGAGAATCTGTTGATTAAAATTATGCGAAGTTTAATGTATTCTCGGTACTAAATAAGATGATTGTGAAATTTAATGTACAGTCGATAAAAAACCTAGAAGTAATTATTATATACAAGGGAACAGATGTGATAGTGTGTTTTATATTGGTATATTTAGGGCCTGTCTTTGGTCAGCCAATAGGAGGATGTTCAGGGGAAGTTTCCAAGTTTCCCGGAATTGATGGGGACAGGAAAATACGTGTTTTGTTTAGGGAAAACTGCAGGTTTTGGATATCAGTTTTCTGAAAACATATTTTTTACTATGGATCCCAAACTATCTCTTATCCTTTGATATGAATTAAAGGTGTATTTTCCAAATTTCATTTGATATTTTCCCTGTTTGAATCGTTGAAATTTATTTACTGCTATTTGAGGAAATGTAAGAAGATACACAAAAACTATCTAGGGATTGAAAAATGTGTAATGAGAATATTATGTTACGGTAGTTGTTATGGTCTGTGAAAATATACATATTTTTCAAATTTAGAGAAAAAAGTACACAACTGCGATAAAAAGGATGAGAAAATCAATGTATGAGTTTTAGTGTTTGATGTGATGGTATCAACTGTTCTATAAGCCAAACACGTCTGGCTTTGGACGTAGATAAATCTGTGTCCACATGTCGTATGTTTGTTAAAGATTCCATGTATACTTATAGACATACTTGGTATTACAGGTTGTCATTCAACACTCTGGTATTCCTATATATACAGACTGTAGCTTTGGACAGGTTGTCAAATTGAAGACACAGTGTCGGAATTTCAGAATTTTTAAGTGTTCAACCAAACCTGACCCACTCCCGTCAATTTCCACTAGAAATTTGTTTAGCTCATATTTCTTTATTCAGACCCCAGTGGTGTTAATATTATGACAGATAAGTGGTCTTCTAACCCTTTCACCACTGTAGACCATAATGGACTCTTCCAAAATTATGCATGGTAGAGTTCGCTCAAGTTACATAGGGGTGAAAGGGCTAATATACAAGTTGTCATCCAAAATAGAGTTCTTACTTTAGGCAGCAAGGGCGTCTCTTCAATGTCTTAGTATGAGAAGGTTATGCATAAGGTCCTCTAAAGGCAGGTTGTCATTGAAAACAGGTAAATTTTCTATAGGCAGGCCAATAATATATATTCATATTGTTTTTACACTCAGAACATTGTTACTGGTAGTTAGTTTATTTCATCTGTATTATTTCTCATAAATTTACCGCAAGGTATGGTTTTCTTTCAGAAATTATCCTCTTAAATGCAGGTTGTCATTCAAAATAGATTCTCCTTTATTTGCAGTTTGTCACTCAAGTGAGGTCGTTTCCAACAACTAAGATTGTCATTCAGAATTGGTGGTCTTACTCTATGCTTGTTTTATATTTAAGATGTTAATAAAGGCAGATAATTGGACGTGGTATTCGTAGAGGCAAGTTGCTGTCTTTTAAAGTTGTTAAATAGACAGACAGGTGTTTTGAAATCCTAGCTGTATAAGAAGGTTGTTTCACAAGACAAGCCATCTTTGACAGTTTATTAAAATTATAACAGGATTTCTCCTATACTTTCAGATTAAATGGCACATTTATTCAATTAATCAGATTTCAGCTATCAAGTTGACAAATCGGGTGTTGGTGTGTTTAATCTGTACATGGATATAGTGAGATTATTGATGAACGGTCCCCACATGTGTTACACCTGCAGTGACTAATAGTTTGTTTTTATGGTTTAAGGATGCTCAGCCCTCACCTTGTCACTAATTATTTTAAGGATGCAGGTCCATTTGTTTAAGAACAGTAAATTAATGTCATTTCCTCCAAAGAAATGGTCACTGATTTTTTTTTGTCCTTTAGTATTTTAAAATCTGATGGTTTTTACTTTTAGCCTGCATATCAGTGCTGGTTTTATATATTGTCAGTTGTCCAAGCATGGAAGCTAAGAAAAGACATAACTTGCTTCAACTTTTAAGCATTAATAGCCTAGCTATGGTTATTTTTGCAGGACAATGAAATAACACTTTATAGGTTATGTGTAAAAAAGGTTTTCTTAAGAATGAAATTTTTGGTATATGAAACAATATCTTTTTTTAAATTACCAAATGGCTAATGATTCACACATGATATTGCAACTTATTGGGAAAAAACATAATTTTTAATCATTCTTATCTGGACAGAGTAGTAAATAAAATATTATCTTATAATTAAAAGATGTTTGATTTGAAGAAAAATATGTATAAAATATAATATATATCAACAAAACTTATCATTTCTTTATTGTGGATTCAGAGCTAATGTACAAAAAATTCAAATTTTTGCTTTTTATCTAATTTTACCTGAGATTGAACAACTTATTTTAAAGGTTTCATTTCTTCCTTGTAAATTCAGAGTTAATGTGCAAAAAATTCAATATCATGCCTTTTACCTAGTTTACCTGAGATTGAACAACTTAAGGGCTATTATATGGCCATTATAAGTCATCAAATTGAGTCATTTCTCACAAATGAATTTATACCTGTTTTTATCACCGCATCCATAATACTCCAGATTTCCGTGTGTGACTGAATGGTGGTTTTTTTTACAGTGTAGTAAATTAAATATTTAGTTTAGCATGAGCTGCCCTGAGCTGGGAGAGATATTGAGTTGTATAGCAGTCTTATAATACACAGTTGTGCATGCCTGACAGCGTTATACAAATAGGAACAGAACAGCTAGGGGGCTGAATCATACGAATCGTTCTGAAGTTGACTTAATTGTTGATTATAGAACAATAGCATTGCCAGACTGACAACTCGTCACAGGTATATTGTAGAATGTAATATTAATGAATGAGATGATTGACACCTGCAATTGAGTACAGGTATGAGTTCATAATGATTGACTTTGTCTTGTGTATACATATATGTGTATTATTATAAAAGTCTAGTTATGGAGGAGTTACTTCCCCTGGAATATGATATCTCTCTCTTAACTCATTTGAATTCACCCCTGATTATAATGAACTATTCAAACCTTTGAATTGGAAGGATTTTAATGTGTCTTCAGGGGTGAATGCGTTAATTAAAGCTCTAAGGATTGCTGAATATTGTTTCTTTAGAGTTTATTTTTGTTCTGGAATGATTGAAAACACGTTTAATGGAAATTTTGCTATCAGGAAGTATGTCCTGCCAAATATTGTATTGTGCGTTGTTGTTTATATCATTTTAACAGGTGTTGTTGCCTTTACTTTCATAACAAAATTGATCAGTGAATTGATGCCGCAGGTGTGTTAATTATGATATCTGTAGCTAGTATAAATGTAAATAAAAAAGGTACATATATATAAACATGATGTACATAAAATGGATGAAAATATACATTCTTGTCAAGTTTCTAGGTTTTGGAGGGAGAATTTCAAATTTTCATCTTTCTTGTTGACTCTAGAATTTTTAGATTTTGTTTTATGTAAATTTTTTTCATTTCAAATTTGATTAATTCATTGCTAACACCAGCTTGAACTATATCATTTCATACTTATTTGTCAAATAGAAGTCATTTCATGTACTTTTTAGAATTTTTAGGGTTTTTTCCCATGTGGTTTCCGTTCTCTTCCGTGAAAGGTTGACAGGTGCTTTGTTTTTATGTTTACGTTCTTCATTAAACACAACTGGAGTATGCACTTAACACTTTGAAGTTTAAAAACACACAAACACAACGTGATCATAAAAAAGCAAAATGTGCAGATTGTACGACTTCTATATATATACTGTATGCAAGTAGGTAAAAACAGTAACTTACAAAGAAAATTTAGAAAAAAAACTTCAGTTTCATTCAACATGTAGCACATTTATCCCGAAATAAGCCCAGGGGGCAAACAATTTATCTCACATGAGAGGATGGAGGATGGGCTTATTACAGGACAATGAAGTAGCGTTTGTTGGCATCTCTTCTGAACTGGGCCTATTATCAGGCATGGGCTTATTGCCAGAAATTATGAAAATATATTTTACCTTTTCAATTTATTCAATCCTGTATACAGATGATGTGTAAAGGATAAACAGGTTCCAGGGAAAACTTTGTTTCACCAATTTCATTAAGAATTTTCTACACATCAGAAGGTTAAATGTATATATATATCAATATTTTTGTATTTTTCCAGAATCGACGTTTATCTGACGACAAGGACAAACAACTCCAACGGAAAGTCTCCGATCTTCAAACACAAACCCAGCGCCTCGAACGCAAGATAGCCCTTATCAAGACAGAAAACGACCTTCTGGTGTGTGCCCCCCCTACACAGGCCTTTGTTACTGATGCTGGGCCACAGACACAAAATGATACAGAAATATATATCTCTAAATTTAGTCACTGATATTTAATCATGAATATCTGCTCCATACTGCCAAATTAACAACCAATGAAGGGATGGGTTGATATAAAATTTAGGAGATGAGCTTAAGTCTGTCTTACATTTAAGTGGTAAAATGCTAGTTACATATATGATATACATGTGCACTGCACTGTTGATGTTATGGCGGGGCAGTCGATAGGGTATTCACCTTTCACTACGATTGCCAGAGTTCAATTCCCTGATCGGACGTGAAAAGGTATTTGGTCACCTGTCGACTGCCTAACCACATCAAGTTTCTCGGGATTCTCCTGTTCCTTCCCATATTAAGATACCTTGTGCGCTTCCATCTAGGGCAGTAAGAATAATGAATATAATTGATAAAAACATGTTTCATAATTGTTGTAAAATATATTTAACATTCATGTTAATTGCAGTTTACTGGCTTAAACTGGGAATAGGGGTACATGTGCCCTATTTATTTCGCACCATTCCCATCTGCCATGAAGGCGGTTTGATACAAAATATCAATATGTATGCAAGTCTGTTAGATGTAATTGTGAACAACAACACAAATGTCTGTATATAGCATTTGGATAATTTTAAGATATTCTGTTGAATGTTTCTTATAAATAGAAAAAGAAGCAAGATGACCAACGCCCTATGGAAGAAAAGGTTAAAGTGTTGAAGAAGAGGAATGCAGAACTGGCAGCCATCGCTCGGAGACTAGAGGAGAAAGCGAAACACCTTCAGCAGGAAAACATGAAGGTATATATTATAGACTCTTTCATGTCAATGGGTGTAAGGTAGGGGAATTTCACTCCTGAGGGGTTTTCAAATAGAGCTAACCTGAGGTTTGCCGAGAAATTTACTCTATACACCCAGCTCTTGCACAGAAAAAAATAGAATCCCACCTTTCTTACTTATCGGTTTTATATGGTTAATAAATAACTTTTCTTCTCAATTCCTTCACTTCAGCAATTTCTGCCACCAGAATTTCCCAAATTTCGTGATATCACTTCACTGTCGTCCTATTTTAACATTATGTATGAGGAATAGGGTGCAAGGAAGAAATTAACCTATGCCCCTTCCTTGCCCTGAACGAACATAGTTAATTGGGTGCAAGGAAGAAATGTCCCATGTCCCTTCCTTACCCTGAACGAACATAGTTAATTGGGTACAAGGAAGAAATGTCCCATGCCCCTTCCTTGCCCTGAACGAGCATTTAAAGTTAATTGGGTGCAAGAAAGAAATATGTCCTATGCCCGTTCCTTGCCCTGAACGAGCATTTAAAGTTAATGGGGTGCAAGGAAGAAATTAACCTATGCCCGTTCCATGCCCTGAACGAGCATTTAAAGTTAATTGGGTGCAAGGAAGAAATGTCCTATGCCCCTTCCTTGCCCTGAATGAGCATTAAGAGTTAATGGGGTGCAAGGAAGAAATTTCATATACCTGATCCTTGCCCTGGACAAGCATTAATAGTTAATGGGGTGCAAGGAAGAAATGTCCTATTCCCCTTCCTTGCCCAGAACGAGCATTAAGAGTTAATTGGGTGCAAGGAAGAAATTTCATATATGCCCCTTCCTTTCCCCCTGGACATTTCTGTCATTTGAAGCGCAGGAATGAGCACAGAAAAACTGGTCTTGGTAAAAAATCTATTTACAATGGATGAATTGTTCTTCCTGATAATCCATCAAAGTTTGTTATAAAAAAATGGATGATATTTTAGTTCTGTCTCTGGATGAAATAGCTAAGACACAAATAATTGAACGTAATTACATGCTTTCAAAACTGATGCACTGCCCCTGCACTGCGTGTAGTTGGAATCTGTTTCTTCTTCTTTCTTGATTTTAACATTTTCATTGTCTCTGTGTTTAACCCTTTCACCTCTGTAGACTGTAATGGACTCATCCCCATAATTGCATGGTAGAGTCTACTAAAGTTACCTAGGGGTGAAAGGGTTAAGGATTGAAATATGTTATTCATAATATTTATGACTGTATGAAACACAGTTGCTTTAAGACATAGATTTCATGTTGCACTGGAGTGTATTTTGGATAATATACCTTTATAAACAGTCATAGTCATAAATATTTTGATTATACATTCCACTGCCTGGTATTGACATTCAATACATCAAAGAATACTCTATTTTATTTTTCTTCTTGGTTTCTTTTGAATCATATTAAATTTTAAGCAACCATTTTTCCTAACAGTGAAACATCTACTGTATACAGGGAATTTTTTACCCAGACAAATTTTTCACCTTTCGATGGTAAAATCATTTTTTTCCCCATTATCAAATTTGCCCTTCACATTTATTGACTATGTATATTAAGTTGTTTACAAATATTCTCTGTAATGATGAATTCACCCTAATTACTGAGGGCGAACAATGTGAAAAATTAAACTGTAGCGAACATTTCCCGATATGCAGTATGTTGGAAGAAGGGGGGTGCTTTCTTTGGCTACCATTCCTATAAGTGTTAATTAAAGATACTTTTAAACACCCTCTGAAGACTTCATTTAAAGTCTTGATATGATTGGAAAACCTTCATATGTGAAACAATATTGTGTTATGATGATTTTCTCAATGATATCTTGAAGTGATACAAATTTAATTATTTAGAGGCTTCAGCACAATGCAACAGAATTATTTTTTATCACAATTGACACTCTCTAATAGCTAGGGTATAGATGGACTGATCTTTTGACCTTAACTGTGACCGTGTCAGCCTTCGGCTCTGTCTTTGTCTGGATGATGGCTGATGTTCTTGTTACAAGTATGGCGGAGTTACCTCCCCTGACATTTATATTTTTTGTGTGAAATGTCAATGAAATAGCCACTATAATCTCTCTGGTCTCATCAGCTGTGAACACTGTTGATATATGTGCCCTTAGCTATCAGTACTTTTCCAGTCTTAAATAACTAGGTTTGGAAAGCAATCCATGATTTTCCTGTTAAATATGGGCATTTTTTACTTCCCTAAATGGACTTTAAATTTCTGCATCAGTAAAAGAAATAGATGTAATGCAGTGTATATACATATATGTATGGTTTAAATTTAACTCAATTCTACCCTGAAATTTCATAATGAACTATTCCAACTTTTGAATTGGAAGAGTTCAAATGTGTCTTCAGGGGTGAATAAGTTAAAACCCATAGTAAGTTTTATTAGTAAAAAAATGTTTTCTGGTGAAAAAATCCTGATTTTCTTATTTGCAACAAATAAAATAAAACCTGTCTGTGTGAATGACAGAGATGTTTCTTATAGCGGAGTAATCCCCAAGATATAGTGAAATGTATTTGTTTCATGTCATAGACATCAAGTGAAAAAAACCCTGTATGCATTACATTTTGTGTAAGCAACATTTTAGTCAGATGCAATTTAATTTCTATGTTGAATTATGATATGTCATTCTAAATGTTTATTTCAAATATAATTTAAAAATCCTGATCAATGTCGAAAGATCATATTTTTTTAAAATTCCATTTTAATGTTTCCGTGTTACATTAAATCATAGTCATTAAAATCATCTCAGTTTTTTTTTTAAATGTTTCAGAAAATACGTGACGAAACAGGCCAGCATGACTCGGAGTACCTGAAGAAGATGTTTGCGCGACAGCGAGCGAAGGACCTTGCCGAGCATGCAAAGGCGATGTTATCCAAAGACCGCGAGATCGAGGACCTACGCAAAAAGTGCCAGGAACTCGCGGATGCCCTCAGCAACAACGATTTCCTCGGACCGGAGGTATTTTTTGAACTATAGAAAGTAACTTTCTAACTGTTTTAGTTCTTAACTGCATGGACACCCCTGGGACCAAATAATTTGACTAGTTTACTGAGAGTTTGCGATTTAAGGGTCTACCCAGAGGGCTGGGTTAAAGGAATAGATAAATATATCATCATCAA